ATGGTATTAGTGCTTTCACAAGTAAAGGATCTGAGAACTTTTTCCTCCACTGACGTGAAGTGTGCACACAGGGAGTGATTGATGTAAAACTTTCTGAATGAATAAGTCTCTGCTCAACAATTAGTTAAGCTCAGTTGAAATTATACGCTCTGAGGATACTCAGTGGTGTGGAAATAAGAAGTGGGGACCTGTCAGGGGTGGGAACAGTTAGAGACTGGTGCAACATATTCATGCCTTAACTTACCTACAACACCGTTCTTGGTCGAGAAAAAATTGTGTGCGTCATTGATCCACATTGTTGAAAGTCTCTTCAGGTCACCGACAACTTGAAACCATGAAACACTGCAGCACGCACAGAAAAATAAGTTTGGAGACAAGCTCAATCGTTCCAATTAGCTTCAACCCATGAGTGCGTGAATCAGAGACGGTTCCCTGTCGGCCCGCACTTGTTAAAAATGCACTGATCAAACAGAAAGGTGGAGGTAATCACATGACCCTGAAATGACCCTGCTGGGATTTAAACCGCTGCATGAAAGACTTAAAACAGGATCAGCAAACTGGACTGTATTCCCAAACGAGAGGGGAAGAGTTTCTCTAAGTTTGTTCCATCGTATGTTTTTCAGGGACAATCACAGGATCAGCCACTTACCTCTTGAAAAACAGCTCATCTTGCTTCATATTTCACGCAGATGTTTCCAATGATTGAAGCAAAGACAAGGACAAGGAGGGACTTTGATTGATGGTGAAGCATAAACATGACTTGTCTTTTTGTTCAAATCCCAAAGTGACTATCATGTGTGTTATACTGCAAGGTTAGTCAAACTACTTCCCCTTTGACACCGTCGTTATACACAGAAAATGTTTAGTTATTCTACCCCTTGGAAACTAGTTTAGTGCAACTTTACGCAAACACCTTGTCAATTAGTCGCATACTAGATCACCACAATTAGTGATTCATTTAATGCAGATCAGTGGATCAAATGAGCAGAAACTGAAATGTCAAACTACAGAGGCCGACCCGATCCGACCACAGAGGGGTAATAATGGAAGAAATTAGCCGGCAACAGCCCTCTTCACAAATTACATGGGTAAATAATTCACAGGATTATTTTTTGCTTATCTTGTACAAAGGATTTCACAAATCTCATTACTTACTCATGGAAAGGAACCAATTTGGGGTTTGACTGCCTCACGAGGGGTCAGAGGAAGATTTTAAGTGGTTGTGAGATGATTACTGGAGGAGAAAATAGGAAAATCAAACAATCTGTTACACACAATTGTGCGTTTTTGACATGATTGTCGATGGTTTCCCTCATAAATCTGAAAAGTTATTCAAACAAAACAGTGTGTGAAGGCTAAACCAGAGTTTGAAAGAACAGGTCAGAGGTCAGCTTAATGAAACAAACACAATATACTGTAGTTTTATTAGACCTGGCTGTTGCATGATACAACATCAAGCCTTTTTTTTTGTTTAAGAGCAAATTTACATAAAAGACGAAAGAAAAGGTGATCATACCGAGGAACAAAAGTTATTACTAGATACTTACCATTAAGCTTTAACATGCTGGAGACACAAACAGACATTAAAACCTTATTTCCAGGGTTTGTTCACTGAAAATGTTGTTATACTCGTGTAGCTCTGCAATGCATCCAGCATCTTATCCCGTATCCCTCAGAGGGGCCGATAGGAACTGCAGCGGTGCTACTTGTGCAAGCTTTCATAGTTAATACGACGCCCGAAGCATAAATTAAGTAGGAAATTAAAAACTCCTTATGAATAAAACAGTGTAATGGAACATTATGTCTGAGGCAGAGTCATTACTCTCAACTGCTCCACAGAACACTTGGTGCCACAATAAAATTAATATGGTTTTATTTATGTCTGTTGCAACACTTACATTCTCATAAGCAGGGATCTCGAGTGTTGTGTTGCTTGGAAATACTGAGAGGATTGAACACAATCCCCGGCCTTGTGCTCGCTTCAGCCCTGGTGGCCTTACTAATCATATCACAACATTAATGAAAAAGCCTTTTGAACTAAGAAGCCATAGCCGGAAAGCTGGGTGTTAGTCTACGGGTGGTCTATTCCCTCTTGGCAGCCACTCGGGCCTTGGCCAAGGTCATAATCTGATTATATTCCCACTTTAATCTCAATAAACACACATAAATGAATTAAACCTGACAGTGAGCGCTGGCTGTGGAAGAAACAAAACAGTCGAGCAGACTTACCTTGATCAGGATATTGAAAACAACACACCTGGAAGGATCACACGCTGACGTCTAGTCGGTGTATTTATACGTGTCGACAGAATAGAGGCTGAAGGGCTGTTGACGTGTTTTGTGCACTGATGACGACGGGAAAAAAGAGAAAACGTCTGTGCAGATTTTTCATTTAATCAAGAACAGTTCCTAGAAAACACAGAGGGGACATTGCTGTTGGCTGAAAGTAAATGAAAAAAAATTCAAATATGTTTTGGAAGTAAGCAAAGAATACAGCAGCGGTGGAAAGTGTATTTAGGAAAGCACTGTGCTAGAACTAGACCTCTGTAGTGCTTAGTACCTAATTTATACTCATATTAGCACTTTTTACATCATTATATAAATGTTTGACAGCTGGAGTTGCTTGACTTTCAAAT